TTACTGGAGTCATGATTTTGTCCCAGTTTTGACTCCTTATGCTACCACTGATTTGTTTGGCAATAGTTCAGCAAGGTCTAAATCAGTCATTTGTGAAAAGGGGATGCTCATAAAGGGACAAACCCAGGGACACCTAGAACTGAGTGCTTCTCCCTATACTGTGCATGGCTAAAACTTAGAGCTTCCTTCTCTAAAAGCCTCTTGGAAGTACAGGAGCATCTCTTACCTGTGCAACACAGGCAAACAAGTCTGGCCCCATCCAAAGCTACTACCTTCTGTACCACAATGCCTGATCCACTGTTATTACAGCACTTTGCCATCTTTGGGCTACCTTGCTACATAATGTAAAGAATTATGCTAGACTGTGTATCCTCATGTTGGGCTTCACTTCCCTGAGTCAATTTTCAGTTCGGATTAACAGCTAACAGTAGTATATATACTGATGCCAAAGTAATTTCTTAATCATTTTTCCATACGTGTAGTTCTGCTTCTCTGGAAATCTTAGCCCTTTTCAGCATACATTATAGCAGTACCACGTGGTTCAGAAAATATCATTGTTAAAAAGGAATGTCTTCTTTCCAGCTTGTTAATGAGTCTTAATTCTTTTGCATCCCATTGTGTGATGCTGCTTGAACAGTATTTTTTGCTTTGCTATTCAGAGTGGAATATTCACAGCTTAGTTTCAAGTAATTTTCATACTCACGGACTGCAATTTGTTATGCAAAATAAATTGGTCATGTGACATTTTCTTTCCCTGTTTCTACCCCTGAAGCTTTTTCACCTGGAAATAGTAAAAGGGAAACAACAAATGAGCTCCCACTACTAATAATATACTCCAAAAACTAGTTATTTTTAAGAGCAGCAATTGGCTGAAATGTCACAAATAATGATTGATGACCCCCTAAATAGCAATACATATTAGTGTAATTAATTTGCTGATATTCACCATTTTTTTCATTATTCCACTGATTTTACCCCAGGGACTTACAGTAGGCTTTTCAAGGGTGGACATTATTAGTCTGATTCTGTCACTGAAGTCAATGGTAAAACTCCTCCCCTTTGGGGTGTTTTATTTTGCATAACATAGGAGAGTTTACCTCCATAGAACAGTGATGAAATATTTGGTTTTGAAACTGTGGGGACGACTCTCTGTGGCAGCCTGATTAAAAAGGATAAATGAATTGTCTTTACATATTATTCTTGCAGCTCAGCCTAAAGCAAAGACCCAAATAAATATTAAGACACATATTACCCTCTGATTGATGTCATACTTGATGCAGTATAAATCATAAGCTTTCACAACAAGCAAGTAAACAGCCTTTCTAACATAGTCAAGAGTCTACTGGTGCCTCTATACTCTTACAATGCAGAGGTAAAGGAACTGAGGTGTGGGTGGACATCCTTATCTTCTGTCTGTTTGGAACCTGTTTTCCCCAACACTGATATGCTAACTCAGACCTGTTAGGTTATCCTTCTTCCTGGGCACACTTATTCCTCTCTTTCCTTTCTCAGCTGCTTTTGTAATAGGTCAATATGTATATTATTATGGGTGGTGGACCTTACTGTATGGGATACATGTTCAGAGAACAGGATGAGCACCTATAATTATGTATGAAACCTGAAAAAGTAAAAGTATTTTGTGCAGTATGTAGCACAACGAGAGTCTGTCTCATCTGTGGGCTCTAGAAAGTTAACTATACAATAAGGGTCTTTGGCCTTTGCTTTGCAGGTCATACTAGATTCTTGTAATGGCTCCTCCTGGCTTTAAAATTGATTATCCATAAAAAAATATATTTGGGTCACTAGTCACCTCTATGCAGCCGTCTCTCTCTCTTGCCTTTTTTCCTCCCATAGAAATTATAGGTGTTTCTTGTCATGACCCAAAGGCATGATTTTGTGTGTGCTTCGGCACCAGAATTATCCCCGCCAAGTTGCAGCTTCATTGCACGGGAGAGTTTCCTGTTGCAGAGGAAAACCCCGGTGCAGGGACGAGTTTCCCGCCTTTTCTGCAGCTTCTTTTGCAGAGTGCATTGCTCATGTTGCAAGAGGAATGCACGGTGCAAAAGAGTTCCCGCCACCGGTATGCAAATTCGTTCCCCGCTATTGGCTAGTGCTAAATTATTCACACGTGGCGGCTAGCGATTGGACTGTTAGCCGTATAAGGGGCTTGAGCGGTTTCCGCCCAAGCCGAAGAGGACTCCACATCCATCTCGTGGGGACTCTGGGTACACGGCAGGGTAATAGAAACCCTGTGTGAGATCCAGAGGAGCCTGGCGGCCTGATCCACCGCCCACCTCTTCCCGTCTTCGAGCGCGACTTTTATAAGACGTATCTACGATTTCTCATTTTGGTGGCTCGTTCACCCAGAGCATCCGGAGCTCTGTTCCGTGGAGCCTAGCAACCTCCACGAGACTGTCTGTGTTGTCTGTCTGTAACCGCAACTCAATCAAGTTTTTCAGCCTGCACCACTGCCATCTCGGTGTAAGTAAACAATCTTTAAAACTACTGCTACGCGTTTGTGCCTAATTCCAGCTCGACGGCCTTCCCTCTCCGACCCGGCGTGCCCGGGCTGCTGGCCACAGCCCGCGTGCAGCACGGAAAAGGGTTCGGGTCGCTCCCGGCCCGCACATTTCTGACATTAATTTTTAGTCAATGAATGGAATATTTTATGCACTGAATTATCAACTATGGCCTATGGCTGGAACACCTCACTTCCCTTTTGATGCTTATTAAAACTTTAGTCACAGCTGAAATGTCAGTTTGATAGTGTCCGGAGTTTCTTCATTGTTTGGGATGCTGTGGTGCATCACACTGAAGTTCGCCTTCTAGGCTTGCTTGGCTAGCAAGTTTATTTTGAATCTATCTCGAATAAACATATAAGCATAAATAATGCATAAAGTGGGTTATGAAGAATGGTTGAACACAAAAGTTTCATTAATGCTGATTTAGAAATAGAGGATCTGCAAGACTATGGACAAATAATTTTAACTGCTTTAAAAGGGGAGGAGGAGTTGCTGGTGGGATCCCCAGCAGCTATTATGATATAACTGTTACATCTGTGTGCTCCTGGAATGATAAAAGCAAGGTAAATAATTGTAAATTTAACCCTGAATAAACCCATGTTAAGGTTGCAATAGTTCTGCTACACTTATAACATGAACATGCAGATGTGATAGAATATAAATAGACATTGCCAAATGAAACAGATGAGTTGTGCCAGAATGTGTCCCCTCTGCACCCTTCTGTAAATGAGGGAACCCCAGATTTCTCTGCTAACCAAGGGGCACCTGGGGATTCCTCAGGCATGCATCTCTGCAAGTGGGATGTATGATACACACCTGGGGTTTCCCAAATTGGGGAACCTGGGCAAGTATTCCTAGGGCTTCAGGGGACAGATCCTGCATACCCTGGAAACTCTTAGCTCTTCCTCCTGAAAGCAAACGGATGTCCACTACAAACATAAATTGATGCAACCTATGTTGCACCCACAAATGTTAGGCTTGTGGTTTTGACAAGGAGCTTGGATGTCTGTTTTCTTTGGATTTGTGCTGTCATAAAACTGTTTATAGTAGCACAAAGGCAACATCTGTTCACACCTTTACAACCTAACAGGTGTCATTTAATAACCATACAGTGGTTACATCTGTCCATACTCTTAATGTCATCTAAAATTATGCTTCGCTACAAGTCACATTTGTTTCATTTTAAGCTGCATGCTGCAGGTAAAGAAAAGCAGCAAATTACATTCTTCTAGTAAGCTCAGATCCTTTTGTGTTTGGTGGATCTCTTGCCCATACTGTTCAAGCTGGTTTCCTTGCTCCCTGCACAGCAGGGTTTAAATTGACTGTTGTCATTATTAGTGACTGCTAATCAGAAGTGATGAGATAGAGATTATGATTACAAAGGGTCACTTCCCTTGTTCTCAACAGGTGTTCAATTTAAATTTTACTGGGGTCCATTTGCAAGGTATATTTTCCAGCTGAGGCTGCCACTAGTGGGATCTACTGGCTGGATGTAAACCCTCAGCTCATTTGCAAGGAAACCAGACTGCACATGCAGGCTTCTACATATCACCAAGCTGTGAGAAGACAAGACTCAATGTTTCACACCCATTTCTAATTAAGAATTTTGATGAGCCACTGGGATTGCCCTGAAAGGCTGCATTGGCCCCAGGACTGTTTATTGTGCCCCCTATTATCTCCTTTCTTTTTGTTCACAGCATGCCATAGAATAAGGCAAATTTGGCCTGCTGCTTCTCCGTGCACCTTCCCTAATTACATCCATTATAACTTGCAAAATACATTGAACAAATAAATCCTCACATGGAGAAAACTTAAGTATCTATTTAACTGCAAGGTCTCCCATGAATCCAGAGCTGTGATTAAATCCATTTCTTTTTTCATTTGCCTCTTTAGATCTAAGTTAAGTGGCTGTTGCATTGATCTCACTTGTATGCAATTGCAGCAAAATTATTTCTCTCTCTATAGTTATACATGTGAGAGAGAAAGAGGAGGGGAGATTTGAGTGTGCATTTGTGTACACATACATGCAGTGAAACATGAAGTGTTGCTAAAATCAAATACACCGAGGAAGACTCATTAGTTTGCTTCTAGACTTGCCTGCGTTATGATTTTTATCTTCGGAAAGCTTTAATAAAAACAACGTGTTTGCAGTTCTGAATGTGACAGGCATGCGTTTGTTTCCAAAATTTCATCTGTTTTTCAGTCATCTTTTTTCTTTTTTGTATGCATCATTCTTGGAATCCTAACTCATCCCTGGGGCTCTGCCAGGGAGGACTGAGTTATGCGTATCCCAATTTAACTGCTCACAAATCAGTTTGATCTGTTTTCTTTTTTTCACTGCCTGTTTAGAAACCTTTTCCAACTTCTCTGCATTACTCATTGAGTATGGAGGGCTGGCTGGTTTGGCTTCATTAGCAAACACTTTCGCTAAATGAGAATATCCATTCTAATGCTAAACTGTGCTATATTTTATTCCAGAGCATACTCAAATAATGGGCACAGATCTCTAATTGCTCCCATGATCAGGTTTCTCTGATGATTCCATCTACCTTTTTGTGATGGGCCTGTCCAGATAATGCAGATACAGTAAGTGTTTAATTTTCCTTTGTGACTTGAGTAACATTTTCCTTTATTTTACTAGCATAAAATAATGTAACTAGCAGGTAGATGATGCTGTCATTAAGTTATTCATACTGATCTACTGAGGATAGGCATTTTACTTTAAGAATCTTAAGATGTGCTTCCTTTTTCTCATAGTATCCCATTTTCACTGCTCTACTGTTGCCAGCATGCAACTCTAGAGCTGTGAAATTGTTTACTGAACCCATAGTTTTTTCTGGAAAGCCAAGTATTTTTCTACCTTGCCCACTTGGATTGGTAGTTACATCACACCACTGAACTTCTGTACCAATATGGATTTGTTCTGTAAAGAGCGTTAAATGTGCTTTTTTGCTCAGAGTTTTTGATGGAGTTTGCAGAATCAATGTTTAGATCACATTCTCCTGCCTATCATTTTTTTTTCTTGCAATATTTTTTGTATTGCTTCATTGCAATTCTTTGCACAGTCATTGTAACCTTTGTATTTCAATGCATTTGATTTGAAAATGTATGAGTAGAGAATGGATGTGAATGCATATACCAATAGCTGTCAGACACAAACACAGATGCACCATTTGATGGTCTATATGTGTGTTATACTTTTTTCCATTTCACTGTTTTGTTCCTCAAAATGTTTTGGGCTTTTTTTTCTTTTAAATTGCTTTTAAAATTTGAAATCTTCTGTATTTCAGCTTAAATGGTAGCTCCTGGCATTTCCCTTTCCTCATCCTTGTTTTTTTGTTTTCTGGGAGTTATGTCTGGATTATGAACAGAGTTATTCTTTTAGCATCTATATTAATCTTGTTGTCACTTCTGAATATTTTATAACTGAAGCCTTGATCATGCCTAAAATAGTCTGAAAAGTTAATTTGCCTTCATTGAAGGCAAATTATTTTCCCCCTTTTTATCTGAAGGGAGTACTTGTTATGCTGCTACTGAAATCTTTATCCATGCATTTCTTAATTCTTTTGACTACTGAAGTTTTCCCATTTTATGATCCTCTTAATCCTTAACTACTAAATGTTAATGGGACTAGAATAAAATGACCAAATAATTTTCTTTCTTACTGTGGGAATCTTAAATAGTACATAGTACTTGTAAAGTGCATAGAATCATAGCAACGTAGGGCTAGGGGGGACCTCCAGAGGTCATCTAGTCCAAACCCCTGCCTGAGGCAGGATCAGCCCTAGCCAAACCACCCTATACACTCCATGTTCTAAACTCCGCATAAGACTACCATCAACCTATAGTACTTATGTTTTAATTTTAAGCATCTGAGTCGATATGCTGACCTCAGTGGGACATTCATGTTTATTAGGTGAGTCCAGAGTACTTTGCAGGATTGAACCCGAAATTCCTTACCCCTCTTCCCCATTCACTTCTTTTCTTATGTATTTATCCAATTTAAAATATTAAATAAATATTAAATAAAATATGAATTTTCATTTCTACTGAGGAGAACTTTTACAATCTGATCCCTTCTATGCCTGATGAAGGGTGAGTGTGCCTGACAGCTTGCAAATAAACTCATTTGCTTGCAAATATCTAGTTGGTCTAATAAAACACATCACCTCGTGCATGAGCTTTGATCCAATTTAAAATGGTCTCTCCATTTTTCCAGTTATTGGTGGGTAGCTAGTCCAACACCAGGAACTTCAAAAGAAGAGTACCTCTCCCCCTGACATTCTGACAAAGTAAGCTGTTGCCTATGAAATCTCATGCCTCTCTGAACCAGTTAGTCTCTAAAGTGCCATGCTGTTCTACCTTCTGCCTGCTTTTAGTTTAACTTGGCTCTGGAGGTCTGATCATTCATGGAACTCCTGTGCTCTTAGCTGCCTTTCAGCTCCCACTTGGTATCATGCCTCTTTTATTTGTAATGTCCCCTCTCTCTGTTTTCCTTCTTTAAATCTCAGTTTTAAAATGTTCTTGTCTCTTTGATGCTCTCTGAAGAGTTTTTTGTACTACCACAAATGAAAGAAGCTATATAGAAATAAATTGTCTTGTGTGGATGTCCTGGCCTGGTTATGGGCTAGGTAATTTATAGCTATTGCTGGTACTACTGCTGATGCACATATAGCACCGTGAAGGTCTAAACCAGGTTAGTCATTCCTAGGAGGTTTTTTTTTTTTGTTTTGGCCTTTTAAGAACTATAATATGTACAGTTATCCACATCTAGAGAGTGGAATTTGCTGTCTTCCAATGAGTAGTGTAGTATCAGCTTCTTGCTGTAAAATGCATTTGCTTATTATTTCTGCATTACTCCTTTAGCTATGCCAGGAATGGAAGCATTTAATTTTTGTTTTGTTTTCCTATGCACCATTCTAATTATTGCTGTTCTATGAATGTGTGTTTTATTTTTCAACCCGGCAGTTTCTCTGGATTGGTTTTTATTCAATCCAAATGTTCTCATTAAAAAGACTTCATGTGAAGAGCATATAAATGAGGATATGACTGAAAACTAAGAACTTTTTTGTCCAGAAATTGTATTGATCAAGGAAACAGTTCAGTAAAAGACATTTCTGTATTAATGCATTACTGTTTCCAGAGTTTGCATTTTCATCTTCCCTGCAAGAACCGTGTGACTTCTTGTTTCTCAAACCACAATCTGTCCAGGACTTCATATAAAATGTTATACTTATTCACATTAAAGAATGCAGATCATTTCTAATGAACATGATTTCATGGGACTAAGGGGTTGTTTTAAAGTACACACAACCGTGGCCAGATAAAGAACTTTCTCATTAAGTGAACTTTCAAAGAGGCATAAAATACAATCCCAATACTAAAATGTATTAATTGAAAAGAAATTACCTGTTACTTTTGTTTAGAACAATTTTCATAAAGCTAAAAAAACTCACAGTCATATACCAGTCTATCACATACCTTAATGGGCTATCAGCTTGGCCCTAAAAGGGTGACAGCATACTGGCTGTCTCTTGTCTGCCACTATTGAGATGTCCCAGGATCTGAAAGTCACTGTATTGGAATCACACTTCAGGATTGTAGGACATGGACACTTTAGTCCCTAGGAGCTCTCCTTTGTTCCTGCTTATGGAAAGAAATAAGAACCTTCTCAGATCAATCTTCTTTCAGGGGATGTTGACTACTTGCTTTCTCCATCGGGGAAGTTCATTGGAGAGTAACTGCACCAGCTAATACACTGGCTACTCACTTCAGCAGACTAAGAAAAAAAGTTTTAGTAATTATTTTACAGAAATAGTAGGTAAATATAGGATTTTTCTTTAAAAAAATACAATAAGACCTCAGTTCTGAAACGGGGTAAAACAAAGTCTGATACAGTCATTAAGTACCTTTCTCTACAACCCACAGGTCCAAACCAGCTCCCATTGAAACTGACAAGATCTTCATGACTTCAATGAGAGTCAGCTGGAGTCCAAAGATGTTGTATTTCATAGACTAATCCAGTGTATTAATCTTAACTTGGCTTTTGGACTTACATTTGATTAAATTAATTGCACACAAAAAATCAGTCTAAAATGTGAATTTACAAGCTGTGCTAAACACCATAGTCTCTGCAAGTTCTCATTTTTTATTCTCCATCATTTTCATGAAAGTCTGAAATGGTTCCTACAACCTTTGTGAAACTGTGATTCTAACAAAGGTTTGCTAGAGTATGGGTATGTGGTGCTTTTCACTGTGAGTTAACTATAAGAATCTGGTCTCAGATATCCATGCCCATACGACTCTCCTCCTGGTGCTGGGGATGCTGCTGAAGAAATAGACCCTGACTATTGTTATTGCTGTGGCATACCCAAGATCAGCAACACACAGTAAATGTAGAGAGTCTGAATTAAATCCTCAGGTGCTACTCAGGGACACTTCTGAGCCATCCTCACTGCTTACTAGCTAGTCTCTCCGGTGTGCCCAGCAGTAGTGAGTAGGTGGGGCACTGTATCTTTGAGATACTAAGCTAGCTCATGCACCAGAAGCACACTAGAGTCCACACCTTGCTGTAAGCGTACCCTTACAGAGCTCCATATTCTGACAGCTGGATTGCATCCAGTCTCCATCACTTGGGTATCTCTAAACTACACTATAGGCACACCTGAAGTTTGAGAAACTTGCAAGGTGTTGGATAGAAATAAAATTTCAATAGGACGAGCTTGTACCCATTGTTGCAGATGAAGTTTTTCAACAGGTAACTTCGGCATTGTTAATAGCATGTCACATGGCATGAAACCATGACAGATTATCACTGCCTTAGAGTTCAGCCTTGACAAACATAACTGAGAAATATGTTTTAGCACTTTCAGAAGTGAAATTAAAACAGATGGACATTAAATTCATGAGAACGTTGATTTCCTTGGCTAATTAATTGGAAGGCTTTGAGATTTGCAGGAGGAACAAGATAAGACTGATAAAAGTGGTGGGTCTTCCTTTCAGGTTAAATAAATCCTGCTGATTCAGTATGATAACACTGACTCTCTAGTCAAAGAAGATCTGGGTTTTATTAAATGATGAAACAAAATGAAATATGATCATGCATGGCTGAAGAGTGGAAGAAAACATTTGTTTTCCTACTGTAGAAAATGTTTAGATGTTTACTGGCCAGGTATAAAGTGAAAATAATCCTGACAAAGTCTGATTATGTATAAGAACAAAGATTTTCATCCTCACTTGTGTAGTCACTGGACTATACATAAATGTCAGTATCCAAATACAGTTATGTGCTAAAGTGGCACATAACTATGTCTCTGATCTGGAGGAACCACCCTACAACCCATTACTTAAATAAAAGTAGTAGAGGTAAGGTGAGACCTCCAGTTTTAGGTGGCTTTTCAGTTCATCCCTGCTGGTACTAAGAGATGGTCCACCTTTAACTCCAGCATAGCCTTCTGTAGAATGGCAAAAAGTTATGTGTATCCTTTCACTCAAGATATTTGAAAAGGGGAAGAGAGGTTGATTTAAAAAAAAAAATCACCAGTCAGGTAAAGTTTTAGGTACACTTAGTAGCAAAGTCAACATGAGGAAGGCAATCTGTTTGCTTTGATTTGTGTGCCTGTATCATTACACACTGTGTTCATTCTTCGTGTATTTGCATTCTGATGAGTTTGTCTCACAGTGCTGTACAATACATATGTATTTAGCACTTAATCTTTTTGTTTTGACACACAGCATCTATTTGTTATTCTCATGCTCCTGCACCCAGCATGTTTCCGTGCTACCTGGAAACAAGAGAATAGATAAATCAGCAAAAGAGGGTTATTGTGTTTTAAAGCTGAGTCTAGACAATGTATTTTATAGTGACTTACTAGGCTAAACTAAAAGGGAATGCTGTTCATGGAACTTTTAAAGTGCCTAGTTGAATAAGTCCAATTTATTTTTCAAGGACCAAAACTTTCAAAATTAAGCACCAATGTAGGCAGTCAGGCTCTTCCCCTTCCCTCCTCCTTTCTCCTCCCTCTCCTGAACAGTTCTTTCTGAAATCAATAGGAGCTGAGAAAGATTAGAACGTCTTAAAATCAGGCCACTAATTAGGAGGCCTAAATATAAATCCTTACATTTGAAACCTTTTACTGTAGTTGTTGAGGTAAATAGTGCTGTGAAAAAGGTGCCTTATTCAAGCTGGTGCCTCCCAGTTGATAGGAAGAGAAGGAAGTAATGGCATGAGATTCAGGCAGAGTCTAGCTGCCTTGTGCTCGTTTCACTATAGAACATTCACCGAAGAATCAACAATCCCAACTTGCTCTACAGACAATGAGAAATGGAAAACAAGAAAGCAAAGAAACAAGGTGCTTTTATTTATGACATATCCATTTTCAGATTCTCCCTGCCTTTAGCTGGTCTCATAAATAACAGCATATCCAAACAAGAAATGCAGCATGTGCAGCCACCTCAGGAAACTGGGGGATGGCACTGGTAATTGATATGGTTTCCAAATTTCCCCCCATAGACCCACAGACCAGACTGCGTTGGTGAATGAGGCTGCTCCACCACCAGATCCAACGTGCAGGGCTAGGCTGGTGTGCTGGACCACATCTGTGGGCTGACCCCATGCACAAACCCCACGCTGGATCAGGCCCACAGGTTCCCTCCCACGGGATCCAGCCTGCAGAGCAGCTTTGCATTACTCATCAGGCCCACGGGGCCAAAAGTTTGAGCACTGCTGCAGTACAGCAAAGAAACTTGACATGGTTCATCTCCATGTTTGGGAGAGTTGGAAGGGGGCAGCTATTTTTCAGGGACGGCTTTGTAAAGCTATTTTAAAATGTGAAGGAAGCAGTACCCTATTTACTTGAATCCAAAACAACTTTGAATTTAAGACAGCCTGCCAATAATAAAACTCTATATAAAGAACATTTTTAATTTTTTTCATGTACACTCTAATTATTGGAGTGTCACCACTCTAGTCCATAGAGTGCCAGCCAGTGGCAGTGTGAAATGACCTGATCCCTGCACTTTTGTCCCCTGCCTGCTCCCCCTGCTACTTGTTCCCCCCACCCACTGCTTGCCCTCTGACTCCAGCTCCTGCCCTGGCTCCAGCCCTGCTCCAGCCCAGGACACGGAGCAAATGGTCACTCTGGGCCCAGTCAGGCTTAGGCAGCAGCAACTGAGCCCCCAGAGTTGGGTCAGAGCTGCCACTGCTGCCATCATTGCTGCATGGCTGGGCCAGGGCCAGGGCTGGAGCAATCATGTTCTCCATGCTCCAGGCTGGAGTAAGGCCAGGGCTAGATCCAGAGCCAGAGGGTTAGCAGTGGCCAACAGAGTCAGAGTTGACGGTGCAGGAACAGAGCTGGTTAAGAGTGGGGGTGGAGGCTACAGCTCCAGGTTTGGGCTGGAGTCAAGTGCCAGCAGCTGCCTGATGCCCCTCCCCCCTCGTACTCAAATCCAAGATGAGAGGATTTTTTTCCTTTATGTTAAATGGGAAAAAAAACCCTTGTCTTGCATTTGAGTACAGAGTACAGCGGTTTGGGCTTTTGTTCAAACTTCCTTGTAGGACTTCTCTTTGCTACCTTTCCTTTTAATGGGGCCAAGTATGGGACAACTGCTGAGAAAAAGATGCCTCCCCCTTTTTCAGGCCATTCCTGCCCAACACATGCTGCCCACAAACAAGGAAATGTAGCTGCCTTAGAATGGCCGTGAACATGTTTCCAAACATTGCTTTCCAGCTATGCTTTAGGTGTGCTCCTTGATTTGTGCTCAAGCACTTCTGTAAGATGGCTATACTGATTCACTTGATCCAGTGATGAAGGCTCTGCATCAAGTCGGGGAAGGGAAGGTACTTTCCAGCAGGGATCCAAAGTCTGGCATGGAGGTTTATATGGTTTCAGCCTTCAGGTGCAATATCATTACCTTAAAATAACACCCATAGAAGGTGTAATAAGGAGTTGCATAGACGTCATTTAATTAGTTCTGCCACATTTAACTTCAAAAGCATTTCTTTTTTTAAATTTGCTTAGAGAAAAGATGACACATGGAGAGTGAAATGAAAAGAAGTAATTTTTATTAAGAATATGGATTGAGAAATGCATGAAATGCAATTTAGGGTACACTATCATTTAATCAACTGAGGGGAGGGGGAAGAATTAGCTGCGATGCATCAGAGAAACTACTAGTACTTTAGTTAATAGTTATGCTGCTGTTTTAACAGCACAAACCTGATAGTGATCACAAAATACATGATTAAGTAGAAGATCTTACAATCATAGGCAATCTTAAACAAGTGCTTAAGAAAAGTGCAAATATTGTGCCTAATCCAGCATTTGTGTGCACCTAAAACTTCCATTGAAGTGTTGAGTACCCAGGGAATGCAGGCACAGGCTCCTCTTCAGGTAGCAATGGGTAAAAAGATGGAGGAAACATGAACATAAACCAAAAACCTTTTGTTTCCACAGAAATTACAAGGCAAATATCTTTCTGAACAACGATTACTCAAACAACACATAGTGAGAGTGAAACTCTGGTCCCACTGAAGTCAATTGGAATTTTTGCCATTGAATTGAATGGGACCAGAATTTCTCCCTGAAAGTTTATAAAAA